CCAACAAGTTTCACATGCCACTCTCTCTCTCTCTCTCTCTCTCTTATTCTGTCAGAAAACTGTTTAAATGCATTCAATTGATAATTGAAAGTCCTGTCCTTGAGTTGATTTCTCTGTGACTCGTGATTTCTTCTGTTTTAGTTTGAATGCTTGTAAATTTTTAATGAGTCAAGTTTAAACAATGATTCAAACTCTCTATTTGAGTTCAGCTAAAGTTTAATTCCATTAATTACAACCAAGTGATGAAGCTTGACCAAATTCAAGGTTGAATTTTAATAAAATCCGATTATATTGGTAATTAAACTACTCTAAATCACTTAGACAAGATAATAATAATAAAAAGTTAGAACGTAGATCCCAATTCGAGATACGTTATAGAAGGTGCTCACTTTAGAATAAAATATCACCGTCACTTAGGTGCAAATAGCCACTAACGTTCTACTCTCAAAATATAACGAAACGAACAGAAACTCTTGGGCCTGTTTGGTAACTGTCTTTGTTTTGTGTTTTTGTTTTCAATTTTTGTCAAAAATAAAAACAAAGACATGTTTAGGTATTATTTTTGTTTTTGTTTTATATTAGTTGTCTTGAAAAAAATGGGAACAAAGACAAAAAAATTGTGTTTTAGAAAACATCCGAAACACAAAACACGCGTGCAACTTAGTTGAAGTTTTTAATGAGGTATCGGATTCGACTGTCATTATCAACAAAAATGTGTTATTTTTCGTGGAAGTATAAAAACCCATTTCAAGCGTCTCTCCTCCCATTGCTTCTCTCTCCCTAGTCCAAGGTGAAGAAGAGGATAAGTGATTGCCTTCAAGCCATGACCTCCACTGTAAGGAAGAATATGTGTGTGTGCGTGTGTTGTGTTGATTTGGGATTTAATTGCCAAATAGATACCAAATATATTTAGGATAAAATTTGAATTCATTACCAAACATATTTTTTGTTTTTATTCTCATAATTTGATAGACAAAAACGACTCCCAAACATATTTTCTGTTTTGGTGTTTATCACAAAACATGGACAAAAATTATTTTTGTTTTTAATTTTTTTCAAGACGTGAAAACAAAAACGTTACCAAATGACCCCTTAATCTGCACTCAAACAAGAAATTTAACAAGCTTGAATAAATCCTCAAGGCTTCTTGGATACTCAAAGGATTCACAAGATCTTACTCACAAAAAGAATCTTATTGGTGAAAAATGAAATACGAAAAACAAGTGAATGAAATCCTTCCTATCCATAGACAAATAACACCTTTTTTGAAAAATCATGAAATGAAAAATCATAATTTTTACCCTGACAATTCATTAGATTGTAACTATTCATACGTGAAGTGAATGACTATTTACAAAATTGTAATCATTCGAAAACTAAGAGTTGTGATTATTCACTTCCAAAAAGACATGATTCTTGGATTAAAAGTTATGTCATTTAATTTATTTTTTGTTATTATTTAAAATTTTGAAGCATATTAAAATACATAAAAATCAACAAGAGGGTCCATTGAGAAGATCCAATACAGGTCATGAGATCATGTTTGAGTTGATTGAGATGACCCATATACGTAAACTGACTATTAATCCAGTTGGGTATATGCTATACTCGGTGCTTTTCAATTTTTTTTGCATTGCATGTTTCCAATTATTACATGTACTCAGACAGGCCGACGCACTCTTTTACTGTTTGATTTTGTTATCTTTCACTCTATTTTGTGTGTGTGTGTGTGTGAGAGAGAGAGAGAGAGAGAGAAAGGTGGGTTGGGGGGGGGGGGGTTTGCCTTAGTAGCTGAATCTTTTCAAATTTTGAATTAAAAATCAATTCATAAAAAGCAAGAGAATTAAAACTGATAATGTCTTGACTTCATTTTTCAAAAAAAGTTTTTGAGCAACATGCATGGTTTCGGATTCAACTCTCATCATGTTTACATTTTTATTTTAAAATTTCTCTTGATGGGTAAAGATTACCATTATCTTTTTAATTTGTAATGACAAATCTTGTACGTGTTTCTAAGAAAAAGAATTTATCCCAGGTCTCAACAAAGGTGCGTGAAAATATATAAAAACTCTTGAATTGAATGAAAATAGAAAAAATATGTAACTTTAGTTTTTCAAAAATGGTAAGGTCTTTGACGCATGAAAAAGGGGTTGATCCGTATCATCTTGACTTAGATCTGCTTTCTCTATTTTTTTTAAATACTGAGCCGGGTTCTCCTCTTACTTGTACTGAATAGAACATGTTGAGTCAAATCTTCTTCACGTAAAACCTATTTGATTTAGATCGGAAAACTAATGCAATTTTATTAAATCATGTGCTATTGCTCAAATCCATAGTTAATTCTATTTGTAATAGGAACAGTTGACAATTGTAGCTACACATGAGTAAACCCGTACTCATGCATGATGGATGATTAGTCATTGAAGTTCAAATGAAAATGTAATATTAAAAGAGATTCAAATCCGATAAACTCAACGTCAAACACATAAAATCTTATGTGAAACATCTTGACAAACATGTAAAAATGCTCTAAATTGTGGATAACACTGATTAGATTGGGGGCATTCCACATCAATGTCAATAATAAAAGTAAAGACAATGGCCATGGACAAAATCAAGCTTCCTTGATCTTGTTATATATTTGGGCCTACTTGCTTTTACTTATTTGTCCCACAGCAAGCATTTGATCTAACCTTTGCATTAAAGCACACATTCATTCGACTCTCTATCTTTCTGTGGACAGCAGCTAATTTGATAGGCAAACTAACCGTTAAAAAGTAACTAGAGCACAATATACCAGTCAAGTTAATTTGTCCTAATATTCCCACTCTCCCGAAAAATAGCACGATTGACAATCAATCACATCGTACCAAATATTTTAGTCTTATATCATGCTAAAACATGGTGTACCCATATACAAATCATCTATTAAGGAGACTTTGATGAGTTAATCCAATTATAATTCATATCTTTTAAAACTAAATTGATCAAGTCTAGTTATATTCGGTAGGTTTCTTTTTAAATTACGTTACTAATTTGCGTATTGTTATAAGTTCTTATCATGTCTAAATCGTGTAAGCCATGATATCTCAAAACTAGCTTATGCCATTTAGAACCCAAACTTATTGAGATTAAACCCACATACCGGCTAACTTTGTTTTGATTTTATATCAGATTGCTAGCCGCTTTAAAAATTACAAACCCTAAAAAAGGTCATAAAGGGATTGCTAATGTTGGATTTATGGCAAGCACAGTCCAACAAATTTCTCAACTAAAGGAGGCTCAGATCTTCAAAGTGGAGACTACTTACAAAAAATTAGGTGTAATGTTTTACCTAAACCAACTAACTATAGGAAGAATGATCAGATATATATATATATATATATTATACAAAAACTATATCTTGTTTATTGGTAGTAGTTGTTGATATCTTTCTTGGATCCTCTTTGTCTGTCTCTCTTTCCCTCGTATAAAATTATTTACAGTACACCCACCCATTGATTATTTTCTGAATTATTAACCCTAACATTGGTTTCCTGCAGATGTTTCTAAACATTTATTCGATTTGATGGCTACACTGCAGGAACAGTATGTTGTCTTTGATCTTTGGATACTCCTTTTCTTGGATGATATAGTTTAAGTAGCTTAGTGCTATAAAAAATCGATTCGAGAAGAACTATCCAGTTCTCCTGAATTATGCTAAGGATAGCTATTCAACCCACATACATTCAAGGATCGAGCCAGGAGTGAGTTATAAACCCATATGTCATGAGTGCGAGTTCCATAGTCACATAAAACTTTGATTTAACTAATGAATCATTGCATGCACCCGAATTTTGCGTTCTATCCACTAGTTTAGTGGTCGATGGTTGGAATGAATACGACAGCATTTGCCTTCTTCTTTTTCCTTCTTCAAACATTCATGAAGAAGTTGACTATGAAACTAAGGTAAACTTAATGCTATACAAGTCCTAATCGTAACAGAGGGCGTGTAATGAAAGACTATCATAGACAAGGTGGTGCATTTTTCAGATTTTGTGCCTAGGTACATTCTACCCGCCGGGACTAAATTCTTTGATCTGAATTGGGCAAGTAGAATTGAAGATTGGTGGGACCCTATGCTAATGTTGAAATTTTAGATTGTTATTTTGGCGAGGACGAGACTATGGTATTAAAAAAGGTATTGTACTTGAAATTTGATAATTTTAAGGTCAAATTACTGTTTTTTTTAGAAGTGCAAGTTTAAATTTTAAAAGACATGATCGATATTGAACTTTGAAAAATATAATTTAACCATTAATAATAATAATTTTTGGTACCATATCGAACTTTTGTTTGAGTACTATAGTGCTATCCTACTTGGGCCCTCTACGTAAGAGGTAGAAACCATACCTATCAGTTTATTAGGGACAACCAGAACTAGTGCCCTTAACTCCACGGGACAACAGAGGCTTAGGCCTCTCGTGATTTTATGCACAAAGGTCCTCAACCAAAAGTTGTCTGGACCACAAACAAAATGGAGGGCACAATCAACCATCTTATGTTGTCACTGTGCCCTAATAATTTTGTAATCAACTAAAAAAAAACTGAGACATCAACACTTCCCAAGAAGATTCAACGAGGCAACACATTCACCCAAACAACAAAAAAACATTCTTACTAACTCAACATTTCTAATATTACATAATAAGTTAGAAAAATTACATTCATCGAGGCCTAAACTTCCCACGCTTTCCTTGGTTTTGGATATCAAAACTTTTTTGCCTTTGTCTTCGTAGAGAAAAAATATATTTATCTTTCTCACTAAAGACAATGTCGTTCCAAGAAGAATCACGCACGAGTTGGTTCGATGGTTGAACAAGAGATGAGATATAAGCCTGTATGTCTGAATTTGAGTATTTTGACCGTCATACAAGTTGAGTTCAATCAATACGCATGATTTGAAAGTGATTGTGTGCAAAAAAAAACCCAACCAGAGAAAGGACAATGAGAAGAGGAAATTATACCAACGGGCATGATGTGGTACGTTGGTGTTGCTCCTTGGATTTCCGGCAATGGTTGGTGGTTGTTGATGACATTAGAGAAACTATAAGATCTGCAAAAGCACTGACAATGATCTTGTGGGTTTGTTTAGGGTTCAGGGTTAGGTAACAAGAGAGAAGCTCATGCAAGAAGTCCCAATCAGCCTTTATATCCACTACCCCACGTGCTTCCACCATATCCTGCATTGATTTCCGGAAGTCACTATAAGGGTCAGGAGAGAAGGTGTGAATGGCGACGCCGCCGGCGACTAGTGTGTCAGACTCCGGTTGGGAGTCCGGCAACTCGATGATTGAGTTGGACCGGCCGGGGGAGGAGAAAAAGAAGCGTTGAGAGGCGAATACAGTGGTGATGTCCGGTAAGGAGTCAGTATCAGAATCGTCCGATGAAGAGAAGAAGTCATCAGTGGAAGAGGTGAGAGACTTGGAGGTGGAAGAAGAAGCAAGGTCATAGAGGGAATTGAAATTTTTCACTAGGGTTGATCTGGTGGGGTTAATAGGTGGTGGGTTATGATCTTTTTCCGAAGGTGAAGTTGGGGATAGGGTTGTGGGTAGGCACATGAATCTGGAGAAGCACAGATGGAAGTTCTTCCAGAAGATGTTGGACATGTTCACTTGTGGAGAGAGAGAGAGAGAGAGAGAGAGAGAAACTTGTTGTATGATTGTGGTCTTTTGTCTATGGTCTAGAATGAGACTATGTGGGAGTGAATGGAAGATAAAGGAGAGAGGGATGGTGGTGGTCTGGTGGATTTGGATGTCTTTAGTGTGAGTATATGTAGAGGCATATAAAGTGCCCCTTGTTACATTTCACTGTTTACTATGTAGAGGCATAGTGCCTTTTTGTATACCCGTTTATTTTGAATAGATTATAATTGTCAATTCCACACCCCGTAGATAGGTCTAACTTAGTAACACCTCTCCCTAATGCTGAAATTTTGTTGCACTCCAATTGCCTTAATCAGACAAGTTTGTTAATATTTTTTCCCAATAGGTGACCAAATTAGTTTTTAGCGTCGAGTAAATATGATATCATTTCATGGCCTTTCATTAATATTTTCAAAAGTTGATCAAGGCTATCAAACGGTCGGTCAAGTGGATAAGAATTCGAATTGAGTAATGTTAGATGAACTTAAAAACTAAACTTGATAATCTCAACTGTTGAATAGATAGTGAATTCCAATAAATGTTGGGATCCACAATAAAATCAATAGTTATAATTTTTAAATCTATTTTTTAAATCCATGTAACATTACTCATTCGAATTTTCTCGCTTAATGCTTAGGCTCGAATCTCCACAACTACGACAATTTAGTAGAGTTAAATCTACTCTTTAACCCCTANATATATATATATATATATTATACAAAAACTATATCTTGTTTATTGGTAGTAGTTGTTGATATCTTTCTTGGATCCTCTTTGTCTGTCTCTCTTTCCCTCGTATAAAATTATTTACAGTACACCCACCCATTGATTATTTTCTGAATTATTAACCCTAACATTGGTTTCCTGCAGATGTTTCTAAACATTTATTCGATTTGATGGCTACACTGCAGGAACAGTATGTTGTCTTTGATCTTTGGATACTCCTTTTCTTGGATGATATAGTTTAAGTAGCTTAGTGCTATAAAAAATCGATTCGAGAAGAACTATCCAGTTCTCCTGAATTATGCTAAGGATAGCTATTCAACCCACATACATTCAAGGATCGAGCCAGGAGTGAGTTATAAACCCATATGTCATGAGTGCGAGTTCCATAGTCACATAAAACTTTGATTTAACTAATGAATCATTGCATGCACCCGAATTTTGCGTTCTATCCACTAGTTTAGTGGTCGATGGTTGGAATGAATACGACAGCATTTGCCTTCTTCTTTTTCCTTCTTCAAACATTCATGAAGAAGTTGACTATGAAACTAAGGTAAACTTAATGCTATACAAGTCCTAATCGTAACAGAGGGCGTGTAATGAAAGACTATCATAGACAAGGTGGTGCATTTTTCAGATTTTGTGCCTAGGTACATTCTACCCGCCGGGACTAAATTCTTTGATCTGAATTGGGCAAGTAGTATTGAAGATTGGTGGGACCCTATGCTAATGTTGAAATTTTAGATTGTTATTTTGGCGAGGACGAGACTATGGTATTAAAAAAGGTATTGTACTTGAAATTTGATAATTTTAAGGTCAAATTACTGTTTTTTTTAGAAGTGCAAGTTTAAATTTTAAAAGACATGATCGATATTGAACTTTGAAAAATATAATTTAACCATTAATAATAATAATTTTTGGTACCATATCGAACTTTTGTTTGAGTACTATAGTGCTATCCTACTTGGGCCCTCTACGTAAGAGGTAGAAACCATACCTATCAGTTTATTAGGGACAACCAGAACTAGTGCCCTTAACTCCACGGGACAACAGAGGCTTAGGCCTCTCGTGATTTTATGCACAAAGGTCCTCAACCAAAAGTTGTCTGGACCACAAACAAAATGGAGGGCACAATCAACCATCTTATGTTGTCACTGTGCCCTAATAATTTTGTAATCAACTAAAAAAAAACTGAGACATCAACACTTCCCAAGAAGATTCAACGAGGCAACACATTCACCCAAACAACAAAAAAACATTCTTACTAACTCAACATTTCTAATATTACATAATAAGTTAGAAAAATTACATTCATCGAGGCCTAAACTTCCCACGCTTTCCTTGGTTTTGGATATCAAAACTTTTTTGCCTTTGTCTTCGTAGAGAAAAAATATATTTATCTTTCTCACTAAAGACAATGTCGTTCCAAGAAGAATCACGCACGAGTTGGTTCGATGGTTGAACAAGAGATGAGATATAAGCCTGTATGTCTGAATTTGAGTATTTTGACCGTCATACAAGTTGAGTTCAATCAATACGCATGATTTGAAAGTGATTGTGTGCAAAAAAAAACCCAACCAGAGAAAGGACAATGAGAAGAGGAAATTATACCAACGGGCATGATGTGGTACGTTGGTGTTGCTCCTTGGATTTCCGGCAATGGTTGGTGGTTGTTGATGACATTAGAGAAACTATAAGATCTGCAAAAGCACTGACAATGATCTTGTGGGTTTGTTTAGGGTTCAGGGTTAGGTAACAAGAGAGAAGCTCATGCAAGAAGTCCCAATCAGCCTTTATATCCACTACCCCACGTGCTTCCACCATATCCTGCATTGATTTCCGGAAGTCACTATAAGGGTCAGGAGAGAAGGTGTGAATGGCGACGCCGCCGGCGACTAGTGTGTCAGACTCCGGTTGGGAGTCCGGCAACTCGATGATTGAGTTGGACCGGCCGGGGGAGGAGAAAAAGAAGCGTTGAGAGGCGAATACAGTGGTGATGTCCGGTAAGGAGTCAGTATCAGAATCGTCCGATGAAGAGAAGAAGTCATCAGTGGAAGAGGTGAGAGACTTGGAGGTGGAAGAAGAAGCAAGGTCATAGAGGGAATTGAAATTTTTCACTAGGGTTGATCTGGTGGGGTTAATAGGTGGTGGGTTATGATCTTTTTCCGAAGGTGAAGTTGGGGATAGGGTTGTGGGTAGGCACATGAATCTGGAGAAGCACAGATGGAAGTTCTTCCAGAAGATGTTGGACATGTTCACTTGTGGAGAGAGAGAGAGAGAGAGAGAGAGAGAAACTTGTTGTATGATTGTGGTCTTTTGTCTATGGTCTAGAATGAGACTATGTGGGAGTGAATGGAAGATAAAGGAGAGAGGGATGGTGGTGGTCTGGTGGATTTGGATGTCTTTAGTGTGAGTATATGTAGAGGCATATAAAGTACCCCTTGTTACATTTCACTGTTTACTATGTAGAGGCATAGTGCCTTTTTGTATACCCGTTTATTTTGAATAGATTATAATTGTCAATTCCACACCCCGTAGATAGGTCTAACTTAGTAACACCTCTCCCTAATGCTGAAATTTTGTTGCACTCCAATTGCCTTAATCAGACAAGTTTGTTAATATTTTTTCCCAATAGGTGACCAAATTAGTTTTTAGCGTCGAGTAAATATGATATCATTTCATGGCCTTTCATTAATATTTTCAAAAGTTGATCAAGGCTATCAAACGGTCGGTCAAGTGGATAAGAATTCGAATTGAGTAATGTTAGATGAACTTAAAAACTAAACTTGATAATCTCAACTGTTGAATAGATAGTGAATTCCAATAAATGTTGGGATCCACAATAAAATCAATAGTTATAATTTTTAAATCTATTTTTTAAATCCATGTAACATTACTCATTCGAATTTTCTCGCTTAATGCTTACGCTCGAATCTCCACAACTACGACAATTTAGTAGAGTTAAATCTACTCTTTAACCCCTAAATCACAAGGTGAGCCCTTAGTTTCAACCCCAACATAAGTGCGGTGGGATCTTTTGCAAATAGATGTATAATGTTAAGGGACAATGTTTCTTAACGGATATCTAGAGCAACCTTTCGTTTATCCATTTTGTATACCCAAAAAAAAAATGAAAGAAGAAAACATGATCAAGCNAGGGAGGGCCTTCGGACAATTCAGTTAAAAATGGAATGACAAATTAAAGACTAATGCTTTTTTTGTTGATTTTGATTTACAGAGGTGCTTTATGTGGAAGATTTAGAGAATTTGCTATATGAGAGCTTGCTACTTTCATTTAACACAGAGATTGAGGATGGAAGCATCGAGGAGGTAACGCAATCCTGAGTGGCTATTTCCAGTGGTTGAGTTTGATGTTGATAAATCTGCGAAATCTAGAAATTCATTTCTGATAACTGAACCTTCTCGTCCATCATAGTATACTGTGATTTCTCCCATAGTGTTTCACTGAATTGTTTGATTCACTGTAGATGTAGATTCTCTATTTTTGGGGTATTGANCAAAAAAAATGGAGGGCACAATCAACCATCTTATGTTGTCACTGTGCCCTAATAATTTTGTAATCAACTAAAAAAAAACTGAGACATCAACACTTCCCAAGAAGATTCAACGAGGCAACACATTCACCCAAACAACAAAAAAACATTCTTACTAACTCAACATTTCTAATATTACATAATAAGTTAGAAAAATTACATTCATCGAGGCCTAAACTTCCCACGCTTTCCTTGGTTTTGGATATCAAAACTTTTTTGCCTTTGTCTTCGTAGAGAAAAAATATATTTATCTTTCTCACTAAAGACAATGTCGTTCCAAGAAGAATCACGCACGAGTTGGTTCGATGGTTGAACAAGAGATGAGATATAAGCCTGTATGTCTGAATTTGAGTATTTTGACCGTCATACNTATTTTTGGGGTATTGATTCTAAAGAGAGATTAGTCATATAGGAAAAATAGTTTTTCTCTAATTAGTTTCGCTTGAATTGATAAAAACCGGACTACACTTGAGACTAATCCCATTACATGACATATATGATTCATGCATATGTTGAACAAATTTTGACACGATATGCAAAAGTGGAGCTACATTCAAGCTTGGGGGGAGGGGGGCAGTTTGCCACACTGACTTCGTGTAGGCTTGGTATGCAAAGAGCAANCAAAAAAAAACCCAACCAGAGAAAGGACAATGAGAAGAGGAAATTATACCAACGGGCATGATGTGGTACGTTGGTGTTGCTCCTTGGATTTCCGGCAATGGTTGGTGGTTGTTGATGACATTAGAGAAACTATAAGATCTGCAAAAGCACTGACAATGATCTTGTGGGTGTGTTTAGGGTTCAGGGTTAGGTAACAAGAGAGAAGCTCATGCAAGAAGTCCCAATCAGCCTTTATATCCACTACCCCACGTGCTTCCACCATATCCTGCATTGATTTCCGGAAGTCACTATAAGGGTCCGGAGAGAAGGTGTGAATGGCGACGCCGCCGGCGACTAGTGTGTCAGACTCCGGTTGGGAGTCCGGCAACTCGATGATTGAGTTGGACCGGCCGGGGGAGGAGAAAAAGAAGCGTTGAGAGGCGAATACAGTGGTGATGTCCGGTAAGGAGTCAGTATCAGAATCGTCCGATGAAGAGAAGGAGTCATCAGTGGAAGAGGTGAGAGACTTGGAGGTGGAAGAAGAAGCAAGGTCATAGAGGGAATTGAAATTTTTCACTAGGGTTGATCTGGTGGGATTAATAGGTGGTGGGTTATGATCTTTTTCCGAAGGTGAAGTTGGGGATAGGGTTGTGGGTAGGCACATGAATCTGGAGAAGCACAGATGGAAGTTCTTCCAGAAGATGTTGGACATGTTCACTTGTGGGGAGAGAGAGAGAGAGAGAGAGAGAGAGAGAGAGAGAAACTTGTTGTATGATTGTGGTCTTTTGTCTATGGTCTAGAATGAGACTATGTGGGAGTGAATGGAAGATAAAGGAGAGAGGGATGGTGGTGGTCTGGTGGATTTGGATGTCTTTAGTGTGAGTATATGTAGAGGCATATAAAGTGCCCCTTGTTACATTTCACTGTTTACTATGTAGAGGCATAGTGCCTTTTTGTATACCCGTTTATTTTGAATAGATTATAATTGTCAATTCCACACCCCGTAGATAGGTCTAACTTAGTAACACCTCTCCCTAATGCTGAAATTTTGTTGCACTCCAATTGCCTTAATCAGACAAGTTTGTTAATATTTTTTCCCAATAGGTGACCAAATTAGTTTTTAGCGTCGAGTAAATATGATATCATTTCATGGCCTTTCATTAATATTTTCAAAAGTTGATCAAGGCTATCAAACGGTCGGTCAAGTGGATAAGAATTCGAATTGAGTAATGTTAGATGAACTTAAAAACTAAACTTGATAATCTCAACTGTTGAATAGATAGTGAATTCCAATAAATGTTGGGATCCACAATAAAATCAATAGTTATAATTTTTAAATCTATTTTTTAAATCCATGTAACATTACTCATTCGAATTTTCTCGCTTAATGCTTAGGCTCGAATCTCCACAACTACGACAATTTAGTAGAGTTAAATCTACTCTTTAACCCCTAAATCACAAGGTGAGCCCTTAGTTTCAACCCCAACATAAGTGCGGTGGGATCTTTTGCAAATAGATGTATAATGTTAAGGGACAATGTTTCTTAACGGATATCTAGAGCAACCTTTCGTTTATCCATTTTGTATACCCAAAAAAAAAATGAAAGAAGAAAACATGATCAAGCACCCTTTACACTTTAATGGGCCAAAATGAAAGCCTTTTTTGGGTGTGGGCTGGGCCCTTAACGATAAAACCTTCCTGAGTGACCGAGTATCTCTCCTCCGATCCCTACTTTTCGCGCCCTTGAACCTTAAACTTGTGTCCTAAAAAGTAATGCTCTCTTTCTCTCTCTCTCTGTGGAAATCGGGCTCCCTGCTCTGGAGAGAGAAACAGGGCAGAGGAAGGAGAGAGAGAGAGGAGATTTAAAATCTGCTAATGGAATCTGTTGTGGCAGCCGCACATTCTGGTGGTCTGAAACCAGTATTTCTCTGTCCTCTCCATGAAGGAATCTCAAAGCTCTTGTCTCAGTGGACCGGCCTTCAAATGGCAGTTCGAAACGAGTGGGGTGGCCGCGATTCCATCAAGAAATCGGAGCAACTGTCGTCTGATATCCTCTCCTGGTTCTCTCAATCCAAAGGTAATTAATAAGCTCTTCTCATCTTCATTCACCATCATTAATGGAATAACAACGTTCTAA